CCACCCTACTTGAGTGTTAGGGGTATACAATCAAGTAGTTGTCCTTGGGCATCATCCAACATCACCAAACTTTTTCACGTCACTGATATACACACAGACCAATAATAACTGCAGAAGGAAAGCTTATTTGGAACTGCAACAGATAATCCGAAAAGAGGACACCGAATCAGACAAAAATCACATAATGCCTAAGTTTGCTAGTGGTTAATAAATTAATTATGAATTATTAAGATTTTACCTCATATATTTTTATCATTAATACTGCTGCTGCTGTTGCTAATAATAATAATAATAATAACAACAACAACAATAAGAAGAAGAACAACAACAACAGCAACAATAATAATAATAACAACAAAAACAATAACAATAAGAACAACAACAACATCAACAATAATAATAATAATAACAACAACAACAACAATAATAATAATAACAACAGCAACAATAATAATAGTAACAATAACAACAACAACAACAACAATAAGAAGAAGAAGGACAACAACAACAGCACCAATAATAATAATAATACAACAACAATAATAATAATAAGAAGAACAACGACAACAACATCAACAATAATAATAATAACAACAACAACAATAAGAAGAAGAACAGCAACAATAATAATAATAACAATAACAACAAAAACAACAATAAGAAGAAGGACAACAACAGCAGCAACAATAATAATAACAACAACAATAAGAAGAAGAACAACAACAGCGACACTAATAATAATAATAATAATAATAATAATAACAACAACAACAATAATAATGATAAGAAGAAGAACAATAACAACAAGAACAACAACAGTAATAATAATAATTATAGGTAAGAAAAGAGCGATTTAAGAAAAGAATAATTTGCCCAGAATGTTTGTCTACTTGAAGCTATTTTTTTCTTTCAAGTATAAAAATATGTACATATAGGAAAATATAAGACTGTGCAAACATTGATTGTCTACGATTTATTACTGACTGAATCCAGTAATTGTTGCACAAAGTCGAAATGGTATGTGTATTAAGGTTGGTCGACACTAACTCTCCTATAACTAGCTAATCAGATTCACGATCCATTTATTCGTTACAATTTACTCATTCACGATAAGAACCTATCCGTCACCATTCGCACCTACACACACCAAAATACCCCACACATACAATGCCCCTGCTAAAAAAAAAACCAAAAAAAATTCATAAATTAAAATTTCGAAATGTTTAATAAGTCTTTGTACAAACGTTGCCAGTCTTGTAATGAAAAACAGCTATACTGGTAATGAACGCGTCAAATTGAATGAAACACCCCCGTGTGAAGGCAGGCAACTGAAATATGATGGTGATTAATTACTTTAGTAACTAACCAACTAACGGAAAAATTCCAAACTGACAAGATTACCATCATATTAAACAAGTTTTAGTTGCATGCTGTTTAAAATCGTTTAATATTGGCGAACATTGTGTTTTTCTTTTCCTTACTTGCTCTTAATTCGAGCTCTTCTGTTTACCTGTTGAAAAGTATCGGAGGAGGTATATCAATCATTTTTGTACTACTACTACTCTTGTTACTACTACTACTACTACTACTACTAATAATAATAATAATAATGATAACAGCAACAACAACAACAACAAATTAGGTAGGCAAAAAAGGACCTCAGAAATGTGGATCACAGCGGGAGACCGCTATTGATAATTCCTAAAGTAGCTGAGTGATGATGTCGACTGTGTGTATGTTAAAAAACATGGAGGAATGGCGCCGAGGAGTACATCACGTTTGAAATCGGCGAATACGGGGTGGAAATAAAACAGATCAAGGAATCAAAAACTAACCACAACAAAAAAAAAAAGGCAATGAAACGAAAAGAGATTCAGGAAACATAACTACAGGACCAAAACCTAAGAAAGGCAACACTGATATGGACTCTTTGAGAAATGCGACAATTGAGAAATGAGAACCCGTTTCACCTCTGTGTTTTATATTAGTGTCTACAGGTCAGGACGGAAGGCACCACTGTGTATTTTGTTTGTACTGAAGCCGTTCATCTCTGTTTTCTAGGTTGGGGTCTTCCGGTTGAAATGCAAGAGTAAAATGACTATTTTTTTTCTTTTGTGTAAAAAGCACTTAACATCTGTTGGAATAGAAATTAGACCACTTCAAGTTATTCCCTCTATTAGCACGATCAATGTATTGTTCTGCTATTGCTTTTGCAATCGTCTGTGATTTGATGTCCAAGCCTGGTCTTATATGTTCTTCGTCGCGAATTGAGAAATCTGTATTCTCTCAAAGCAGTTTCTTCGTCGTGAAAACTTTTCCCTCTTGATCAAGCCAGCACTTCCTAAGTCAAAATTATGGCCCGTGTTTACGGAGAAATTACCAGTGCGTTCAACGTGTTCTTTAGCAGCATATTTCTGCAATGGTAACCTAGTGTTTTTTTTTAGATTTCTAGATGTTTCGCCGATGTAAATTAATGCACACTTTGTACAATATATTTTGTATATTCTTTCCTCTTTCCTGTTGTTTGTTTAGTTGACACTATACAGGTTGCGATGGATAAATTTTCGCCTTTTTACATGTATAATTTCTCGGTTGTGAGTTGTTTTTGTTTGATTTTGTCGCCTGCACAGAATACTAGGTTCAGTTGGGAAACGTCTGTAAGAAAAAAAGAGCACCATTCTGCAATTAACTACGCCAGAAATTTGAAAACGGTATGCTGTACTACTTGGCTTCCACACCCTAAGATCCAATGCGAAAATTTCAGAGTGTTTGGTTGCCGATATGAGTACAGTGCAGAGGATTCCGAAAGAGTTGGATGAATTTAATGGTGATTATGAAGGTACGTTAGATCGAAAAAGAATTACTCCGATCGTTCTGATAAGAAAAGAACTCGAGAATTTGTATTTAAGGGCCTCAGAGAAAACACGAAGACCTGCCTCATGCGCTTTGAGAAGGTTGTGCTGTCCTGGTTCAAGAGGGTGGCTGCTGGAAGAACCTATGTCAAGAGGACTCTGCACCATGCCACACAAATGAAGGAGACAGTCATGGCTGTCAGAAAATTTCTACGACTACATCACCCATTACATATGGCCACCTAACTTCCTAGACAGCAACCGGCTTGTCTATAATATGTAGGACCCAGTTGAACGAGATACCAACAAAACTCCTTGTAAAACCAAAGATGACCCGAAGGCAATGATTATGGCAGCATTCACCAAATTAAATGAAGAGACCGCCCAGAAAAGTTACAGGAGATTCCGAAGTTGTATTCAGGTCATTGATAAAGTCAATAGTGAATTTCTTGAATAAATTTAATTTTTAGTATTTTCGATATTTTGGGGTATTTTTGGTAAATATATCTGTTAAAAATCAGTGATATTTTCTTTTTTTGCGTAATTGGGACGACGATTTATCCATCACGCCTTTATCTCTTATTTTATACAAAATTCCGTATTTTCAGTCCAACCGAAAGAGGCCAACATAGCAAACAGGCATTAAAGATTTAAAACCAACAGTAACACAGTTTTGTCTTTTATTCTAATTTGAGGATTCAAACCCTGCACTCGGAGGTGAAACATGTTGTCATTATTTTTTTCCAACCAACCTTCTTTCCCCAGTTTTATTTGGATACCCTAATATGCACATACAAAACCAGAAAATGTCAATAAACAAAAATGGCCACAGCAAAAAAACAGCGAACAATACTGCTGATCTTAATAGTGAGGGTCCAAAAATGGCATATGCCTTACATATAAATGCGGCTAGGATAGAAAAAATCAATATAGAAATAGTGAAAAGATATACGTGACTATCTCATGCGAGAATCACGTATTTACGTTGTTTTATGAATGCGTGTTAATGTCTGCGCCATATCAGCAGCAGTCATTAGTATCAGTTGACCTTACTTTTACTAGTATGATTCGCTTCGCTCGTATATTTTTCGTGTAGTATAATATACTTTAAATGCGAGAAAATATTGCAAGTTCTAAAATAACTCAATAATTATACAAGAAGCGAGTAATCAGAATTGTCTATATTCCCTGGTCAGTTTTATACTGTAGACTGTGATTGGGAATTTCCTCTACGTTACTGATAAGAAGAAAATGAACACGATCGAAGAAATAAAAATGAAACAGTAAACAATATTATGAGCGATAGAAGTAAATTAACTCACAAATAAATCATCCAAGACGGCGAATTGTGCATATATATATATATATATATATATATATATATATATATATATATATATATATATATAAGATTAAAAATTATCGGGACTGAACAAAAGCAATCAGTTCGTCATTTTACTTCCTTCGACTTAGTCCCCTTTGGAAGCGACTTACTTCATTCAGGATCCTTTCCATTCATGGAAGCGTTCCTGGAACATCTTTTGGAGATGGAGACCTGTCGCATTCCTTTGGATCTCCTCGACGCCTTGAAATCTTTTTCCTTTCAAGTGTTTTTTTTTTTTTAATTTTGGATCGAAGAAAAAGACGTGAGCATCGAGAGCTGGGAATTTATGTTGCCTGTCGGAAATGGCAAAGGTTATGCTTATCCAAAAACTGATGCACAAGCCATGCCCACTGATGGAACATCTGTGATGTGGGCATAGGACCCCACTTTCGTTACAAGCATTGCTACAAACACCGGAAATGAGCAAGAATTTAGTGCGCATGCGGGAAGGAGTTCAGTATCAATCTATGACATGTTAGCTTCGTTAACATAGCAACAGACCCTATAACTTTTGACCAATTCAAGTACATACTTTTATAAGGTAATGGACTTTATTTATCAAGTATTAGAAAATTATCTTTTCTCGAATATTCAGGCCAGTAGGCGAAAATAAATATACTGTTTAATAAATAAATTGAGCGTCTGCTCAAATATGAGTGGCCATCATGATGTGAGAAAGAAAGAAAGAAAGAAAGATAGAAAGTAAGAAACATTACTTAAAATCGATATAACGGATAAAAAAGAAGGAAAACAGTAAATCGGAATTAAAAGAAAGAAAGAAATGACTTAAATGTAACGAACATAGAAGAAAGAAAGAAAGAATTGACTAAAGAGTAAAGAATATAGACGAATGAAGGAAGAAAAAAGAAACCAACAAACGAACAAAAATGAAAGAAAGAATAAATTAGTGAAAATCGATATAACGCATGAGAAAGAGGAAAGAAAGAAAATAGAAATTAAGAAAGAGAGTAAGAAAGAAAGAAAGACAGAAAGAAATTACGTAAATGTCCTGAACATAAAATAGAAAGTAAGAAAAAGAGTAAGAAAGAAAGACAGAAAGAAATTACTTAAATGTGCTGAACATAAAAACAAAGAAGAAAAATGAAATGAGGAAATAAAGCAAAACAATTAAGAATGAAAGCAAAAGAAAATGAAAGAATTAACTTAAAAGAACAGAACGTAATAGAAAGAAAGAAAAAATGAATGAAGGAAAGAAAGAAAACAGAAATTAAAATGCAATGACGTAAAATTGACACAACATGGGATCCATAAAAAAAAGAAAAACAAGAAAGAAAGATAATTTCCCCCTCTTTCTTTCTTATGATGCTTTATTTTTAAGAAAGAAAACGGTGAAAAAGAACGTAAATATAAGAAATTGGAAGAAATGGTACGTAATCGAAATAATATATGTGATAGAAGGAATAAAGAAATCAAGAATAAAGAAAATTTGTAAAGAAACGAAGGAATGATAAAATGAATAAGAATAAAAAGAAAAATAAAGAAAAAAAGAAAAAGAAGGACTTAAAATCGACTTCGTATATGAATAAAAATGAAGCAGCTGACATGAAAGAAAGAAAGAAAGAAAGAAAGAAAGAATGAATGAATGAATGAATGAATAAAGGAAGAAAGGAAGAAAGATTAAGTATAGAAAAATAAAGAAAGAAAGAATAAATAAATAAATGAAGAAAGAATAAAGAAAGGATAAATAAATAAATAAATGAAGAAAGAAAGAAAGAAAAATAAAGAAAGAAAACAGAAAGAAAGAAGCAATTAAAACGAATCAAGAAAAGAAAGAAGTAGAAATGATTAAAAAAACTAATATATAACACGAGGAAGAAAAATAGAAATAAAAATAAATGCCTTAAAATCGTGGTAGCATCTAAGAAAGAATGTAAAAAGTAAAAAAAAATAAAGAAGATGAAAGAAATGTACCGAACATAAGATGAAGGAAAGAAAGCGGAAAAAATAAGAAGTATTGGCTTTAAAAAGGACCTACCATATGAGAAAGTAACAAAGAAAGAAAAAGGAAATAATTTTATGTACGGACGCAATGGAAAGATAGAGACTAAAAACAGAATTCAAAAGAAATGATCCAGAATTAACATAAAGAAAAGAAAGAATGGGAAATAGCAAAGGAACGACTACAAGAGAATCTACCATTATAAAAACAATAAAAAGAAACATAAAATAAATAACCAATTAAAGAAAACAATAATTAACAAATATCCTAAAATTAAAAGAAACAAAGAAGAAGGATTGGTACTATTCCGCCTAAGAAAAGAAAAACTTTAAGAAAAAGTATAAACAACCTGAGATGAGGAAAGAAAATAAAACAAAGAGTAAATACCGAAACCTTAATGTCAAGCGGACATGAAAAGAAAGAATATAGACAGGAGAGAAGAATAAAAACAGTCGTAAATGTAATGGCTGTTGGGATTATTTAATCCTGGTCATAAAACTCAAGTCCATTTCCTCCTACCACATTGTGGGAAGAGCCAGAAGAGATCTTAAGACCAATGACCAGACTCGCAGGAACCGACCGAAAATCTCCTCTCCCTACGCGCATCCTAATTTCCCCATCGCCCGAATCGTGTCAACCTGCGATGATAAATTCGAACAAACCCCTGGTTAGTCTCCGTGCAACCCCATAATTCCGCGCGACAATAACGGGTTGAAGCCATTATCCGTTACGAAGAACGAGAGGCGACAAGATTTACGTTCTTTCTTCGAAATGTCCAGGTATGTCCAAACAACTGGATAGTAATCTATAACATAGACCTTTCTTTAGAAAAGTCCTTTTCTCCAGGGCAAGGTTAATGTCATACGTACAGTGTTTGAAAAGAAAAAAAGGTCGTATCACGAAAGTATATAACACATCTTTATTTTTTTTATCATAGAATCAGAACGTCAATGGTAATATATAATTCTCTAAAAAGAATAATTTAGTATGCATTGATCGACCAGTCAGTACTACTCTCGTTTTAAATTTATAAACCCTTTAATTTAAAACAGTTTTTTTCAGGAAAATAGTTCAATAGCTGTTATCATTCTATCCAGTATTGATGAGTGTTTACTTTCTAATATTTTATTTGAAATTGTGTAGTATACCAATATGATTACGTTGTTATTTTGGGGCATGTTGCTTTCTGACCATGAGACTCTGTATTCTAATCTCACCCTGGTCGATTTGTATTTGTCACAATTTTATGGCTTCAACGAAATATATACTTTAAATAGGAATTGTTGGTTGGTTGGTTTTATTTAGCGGCATATCAATCTCTATGGGTGATTTAATATCGCAATATATATATATTGAACACAATTTTATGGCTTATACTAAATATATACTATAAATATGAATTGTTCGTTGGTTGATTTTGTTTAGTTCTGTGAGAGAGAGAGAGGTCGCAATGTGAAAAATAATTCTTCTCTCTCAAGGACTTGGAGGCGCTTTTGAACTATATTAAATCTGGAAAGTGAGATCTGGGCAGCTGACCTGGCTTTTATAATGTTTGACGATAGCATGGGGATCCAGTTACTTACTGGAGAGATAAAAGGTGCCGATCATTTTCGCCGCATCGTTCGCGATGGATCGTATATAGGAATTCCACTTGAGGTCAGGTGTGAGTATGAGGCCGAATATTCACTCGATGAAGGGTCGGTAATCTTCGATCGAATATCAGAGATAATTGACAAGCTGACTTCTTTATGTTATCGGTCTGGTGGAGGTACCATTGGAAATTGCTTGAAAACCATACAACGAGTGACCCAAGACTTGTGAGTGAAATTGGGTAGACATGACTCCTTGACAGCCGTTGATGCTTGTGCTAAGACCAAGTCACTAATTATCGTACCAAGGGTTTAAGCGACAGGCCATTTTTCAGGCTGTTGATCACGCTAGATAATGCGTTCTCTCCCTAAAACTGTAAGGTTCTCTCAGCATAGTTGCACTATAAACCAGAGATGGGCACTTTGAGTATTAAAACAAACACAAATTTGCCTGAGCAAGTGTCTGCAACAAGCACTGGCTAGTCGTACTAATAGACGGATATCATCGGATACGAGTGGCCAGCTTTTATTCATTTTTAATATTCGTGTTTCGTTTGCTATCCATTTTAGTTGCTGCGGCTGTTGGCGTTCTCAAATGATACTGTTTCTGTTATTTGGTACAGTTGTATTTTATGATTCTTTAGTGCCAACATATTCAAAGAAGCATGGTCTTTGACAAGGCTCTGAAGTTTCACACGCCCAATGCAATTTTCACCATTAAATCTAACGAAGAATAACTAGCCTGCAAACACTAACGCACGAAATACATTTTGTCATTTTCTTGTTGAATGTAACCTTATTTTTTACAAATAGTGTTACACAATTCTACATTATTGAAGCAGCTAGTGTACGTAAAAATGATGACCCCTACCTAATAGTTGCAAAGATGCGCTATTTCCAAAAATACATATGTATTTCCAGAATTTAACTGATCGTTAATTGATTCAATTCTTGGTTAGTTGGTAGTTTCTACTTAGCGGCATAGCAACTTCTATGGGTTATTAAATGACGAAATCTAAATGTTTTGATTGGTTTGGTTTGGTTGATTTTGTTTAGGGGCATATCAAACCCTAGGGGTTATTTAATGCCGAAATCTAAACATTTTGATTAGTTTTGTCTGGTTGATTTTGTTTAGCGGCATATCAATCTCTATGGGTTATTTAATGCTGAAATCTAAACATTTTGATTAGTTTGGTCTGGTTGATTTTGTTTAGCGGCATATCAATCTATGGGTTATTTAATGCCGAAATCTAAATATTTTGAAGACAATTTTATGGTTTCAGCTAAATATATACTAGAAATAAGAATTGTTGGTTGGCTGATTTTGTTTAGTTCTCGATGTGTGTGTGTGTGTGTGTGTGTGTGTGTGTGTGTGTGTGTGTGTGTGTGTGAGAGAGAGAGAGAGAGAGAGAGAGAGGTCGCATTGTGGACAATAATTCTTGTCCCTGAAGGAGCCGGAGACGCTTTTGAACTATATCAAGACTGGAAAGTGAGACCTGGGTAGCTCATGCCCAGATATGGCAACAGTTCTCCATTTTCAGGCTTACCTGGCTTATTTTATAATGTTTGACGATAGCATGAGGAGCCAGGTACTTACTGGAGAGATAAAAAGTGCAGATCATTTTAGCTGCATCTTTCGCGATGGATCGTGTATAGGAATTCCACTTGAGGTCATGTGTGAGTTTGAGGCCGAATATTCACTCGATGAAGGATCGGTAATCTTTGATCTTGACAATATCCTCAAAGAATTTCCCTCGGTCAAATTTTCACACATGCGGTGACTTTAACGTTCACCACAAAGATTGGTCAGTCCAATCTAACAAAACCGATGTGAAAGGCAGATATTGCAGAGAATTCTCTATCGCATATGAACTAACACAGATTATTGAAGAAACCACCCGAGTGTCAGATGCGACGGGACAGCAGGCAAATCACATCTAGCTTTTTTTTTAACATCCTGCCCCAACAAATGCTCAGCAAAGGTTTTAATCCCCATTGGCACGTCAAATCATTTTTTAGTCAGGTCTAGATTGACTCCAAACCAATATAAGATTTACCGTTCCATGTGGTCAATCTAGTATCGATATACCAGCGACATCATGTTGAATACTTAATTCTAAACATATAATGACGAGGAGTTGGAATGTTCATTTCCCGTCCGGCGCCCGCTTTCCAATCTCAATCTCTGTACTTATCAAGAAAGTGACCCCTTGATTTCATCGGCCATCGTGAAGTGACAAAACAGTCATACCTCGAACAAACCCAGTACTTGTGAGTAAATTTGACAGCACTTGTGAAGTCATCCTCCAATAGTCATTCAATTACGCCTTATTGTTTTGATGTGGTTTGTTGTGTTTTACGGCATATCAACGACAATGGGTTATTTAATGCCGACAAAGTTTTTATTGCCGGTAATATTTTGTTTTGTCAAAAATCTATTTCTGGTAATAATTTTCCCTTCAAAAATGTATTGCTGGTAATAATTAAAAAAAAAATTATTTCTGGGAATATTTTTGTTTAAAAAATGTATTGCTAGTAATAATTTTTTCCAAAAATGTATTGCTAATAATATTTTTTTTCCCTAAAATGTATTGTTGGTAATATTTTTTTTTTTCAAAAATGTGTTGCTGGTAATAGTTCTTTTCTTCAAAATTTGATTGCTGATAATAATTTTTCTTTTACAAAGTATTCCTTGTATTAAAACCACTTGTCCACAGCTGGAAATCCAACAGGTGATACCACCATGGGTCAGAGTTAACCTGGGAACACCAGCAGTTAAGAGGTGGTGCTTGATCAGAGGCTTTGCTGCTGGACGTAGTTTATCGTCTAACCTAGGACGCGGATGTAATTTATCGCCATAACCAGGGCGGCCCCTATTGGTATTATACATAAAGTTGCATGACTTTCCGATACAACATAACACGGGACTCAGCGTTGGACATCGGGGAATTGGCGACAGCAGTGAAGGCCTGAACAGTGTGGAAATGAATTATCAACGGAGTTCTGACCAACCAGAGGGAGGCTGAATAATAAGATAATGATGAAGATGATAGCCTATTGTTTCTTGATAGATTCGCCAGGTATCTTCGTCATTTTAGCATTAAATATTTTTTTACATAGAGACATCCATTCCTACTAACGCAGTTCATTTCTGTTGCATTGCAAAAACAAAATATATAACATTTTTATCGAGCTTTGCGCGGAATTTGTAACTCATATTTTTCCAACTTGAATCACAAAAAGATTCCTTTTATGCTGATAATAAAAATTATTTAAATTTGTAGAGCTGTGACCTTTTTTTCGCTTTTTCATGCCTTTTCCTCTACATACATAAGATTCTGAAATTATATAGATATATATATATATATATATATATATATATATATATATATATGAAAATGGACAAATCAACAATTTCTCAGATATTCAGGCCGGTAAATGTTGTTAATACTGTTTATTATTAACAGAACATTTACTTAAATATGTATAAATATAAAAATATCTTTATATATATATATATATATATATATATATATATATATATATATATATAAAAATATAAAAATATAGTCTTGTGCTATATTTATGGGATGAAGTGCTCAATATTAGAG